GCCTTTATGAATTGGAAGTTCTGCTTCCTCTTTATATATATATTTTACCTTTTTTAGTTTAACAATAAAAGTTAATAATTTGATGCAATAAAAACGTGCTTCTAGTTTGCAAAAGAAATTTACTTATTATGTGAAATGCCCTTTATACATTAGTTTATAATATATATTATTGTATAATAAACCGATGGACTTAAGTAAAATATAAAGTTATTAAATTTATACATAGTGTGCAGTTTGAACAATTAATAAGGCAGTATTCTTTTTTTTTTTTGCACTTTTTAAAATGTTCTCAAAACATTTAAAAAGCTGTGGCCATGTTGTCGCAACTAAATATTTTATGTGTGTTCAGATAGAGTGCGATCACACCCACTACCTGACCAAGTCTGAAGTCACAAGTAGCCCTGATATCCCAATATTCAAAAAGTTTAGGGATAACTGGAAACTGGAAATTGCTCTTTTATATATAACTGGAAGCTGCTATTGAAACATGCACTCATATTGTCAAACAATATTTTAGTAATACAGCAATTGAAGAATTGTTGACATTTTATAATCGAGAACTGCAAAAAACTATTGTACATGACAATTATAGGGAACTGATATAACTATCTGTTTTTTTCTTAGGAAGTAATAATGAGAAAAAAATTAAAATCAGACCTCCTGGAGCAATGCATCAAGCAAGGTAGATGGCTAGAGCTGTTTACTCTTTAAAGATATGTTTGTTGTGGCAAACATATGATCCACATGTGGATCATATGTTTGCCACATATGATCCACATGTGGATATAACTCTTATGTCACTTATGTATTAAAAATACCATACATGACCCACATCTGGGCCATCCCATAAATAGAGTGCGATTATCACATGTGCACATTAAATTTTCTTGTCGGAAGATATGTCTGATTATTTGAATGGTAAGTAGGAATACATAGCATTATTTTCTATAATGTTTTTACTAAACTAATAATAATACTGCCTTATTATTTGTTGCAGGAAAATCTCGAAAGTTAATAAGGCAGTATTAGTATTAGTATTATTTATGTGTCTGTCAAAAGAACACATTTTTTTTCTCGATTAAAAATTAATGAGAACTTCCCCCAAAGACCCGTTTCGATGTGAGATAAAGATGTTATCTATATAGATGCAAAAAGAAAAATTCTTTCTTTAAGAGCAGGTAATGATGCAGCTGAAAGAGTAGTAAAACTTATTCAAGATTTTTATGGTTCGATCACTGCAAAGGAAGAGTAAAAGCAATTTTTGCTGTGTGCAAGAAATTTGTGTCTAGACTGTAAAAAAGAGACTCTCAAAGGAAAATATTTTGCCTAAACTACAATTTTATGTATATATATTTTATGTGTATATATATATATGTATATATATATATATGTATATATATATATATATATATATATATATATATATATATATATATATATATATATATATATATATATATATATATATAAATATATATATATATATATATATATATATATATATATATATGTATATGTATATATATATATATATATATATATATATATATATATATATATATATATATATATATATATATGTATATATATATATATATATATATATAAATATATATGTATATATATATATATATATATATATATATATATATATAAATGAATATATATATATATATATATATATATATATGTATATATGTATATATATATATATGTATATATATTAATATAAGCAACGTTTGCATAATTTAAGTACCAATGAATTAAAGAAAAGTATAAGTTTTTTAAACAATATACCCATATTTTTTGATATTTTATTTTCAATTAGGCCTTTTTATTTATTTGTTATCATTAAAAAGATTGAGAAGTTTTAGGCGAATATCTGGGTTTTATGAAGACGATGGGAAAAAATGTATTTAGTTTTAATGATGTTTAAAAACAATTTGTTTAATTTAAACCATTTTAATAATTTATCAAGTTCTTTTTCCTAAAATTGATCCTTGAGAAACACCACAGGTTATTGTTTTATAATCCATTTTTCCTCCATCATATAAAATGTACTGCTTTCTATTAGTCAAATAATTCTCAAACCAAGACAAATTAGTCTTTATTATACTACAACTTTTGAGCTTGGATGGTAGGACTTGGTTATTGTCTGTGTCAAAAGCTTAACTTAAATCAATAAAATTCACCTAGGGTATACTCTCGATTATAAAATGCTTCAAATATTCATGAACAAGGTGAGTGGTTGCTAGATTTAAATCCATACATTTAAAATTAGTCTATAGACTATATTAATTGATAATTAATTAATTATTAATTAATATAGTCTAGTATAAACAACTCGCTCTAATTTTTATGTTATCTTAAAAAACACCTTGTTTCAAAGATAAATTAAAAATGTGTATTAATATAATAGTAATTTGTGATTTGATAATGACAATACTACTTATATCATCCAATCCTAAACTTTTATTAGGTTTTAACGAAGAAACACCATATTTTCTTTAAGTTTATAATTAGACATAACACTAATTTTGGTTGAGGTTAAGTACGAATCAAAGTGTGCTTAAGTAGTCACTTTATTTGATGATAAAGTAGGACCTAAATTTACAAACACCTGATAATAAGTGTTTCAGCCACTATGGATTTATTTACAATACCATTGTTATTAATTTTAAGAATTTCAGGAAGTAAATTTCTGTATAAATTTTTTTTCCTATTACCTTTTTATTAATATGCCACGTTTTTTTTGAATCATTTTTGTGTTTTAATAATTGTTCAAAATAGTAATTTTTTCTTTAAAATTGATTCAAATAGCCATTTATAATTTTTAGTTAGTTCTATTTTCAAGAGTTCTTTTTTTTAAGAAACTTGATATATAAGCGTTGTTGTTGTTTTTTTGAAGATTAAGAATACCCCTCGTATTCCAAGGATTTAGAAGTATTTTTTGTTTTTGTTACTTTAGCAACTTCTGGAAAAACCTTTTCATAAAGATTAAGAAATTTAGAAAGACATACACTTTATCAGCATTTTATATAGCATATTTAGTTGTAGGGAATCCCAGTTAACACTGGGATCAAAGGTTATGAAAATGTTTTATGGGCGTTGCTTATTTAATTGTTTTTTTCCATTCATTTTAAGCATCATATTTGCATATTTAAGATGAGATAGTATATCTGAAATGTCAGAATTGAGCATTTCTGTTCTTATTTTTAAATTTATTAATTTATTTGAATTTGATCTAAAGATATTGCTCTTTTTGTAGTTACTCATGTTGATTTATTTAAAGGAATATAACTATTTTGAAAAATGATTTTAAAAAAGTTTTTAATATTTTTTTTAATGTCATGATCTAATATAATTGATATCACCAAAAAAATGCTTTGTTTTTAAGATGATTTTTTTTTTAAATTATATTTTTAATGTAATTTTTCAAATGCCTTAATGCTTTCTTTTTTTTGAGGTTTTTATTAATGATTTTGATGCATAACAGTTCGTATTATTGAATTAATGAAAATAAAAAGGATCGAAAATAAAACAAGTAAAAAACATTTTATAAAACAAAACTATTTTTTCTATACTCTTCTTTGCATTATAATACCTTGAAGACTTTCAATACTTTCATATAGTTAAAGCAATCTTTACTAATGTAAAAAATCTTGCTTGTCTAAAAACCCACATTTATTACCCATTTCACAGCTCGATGTGTTATAAATAAGTTTCTATTTTTGTTGAAAAAATTTATCGATTTTAGTGATTTAATTATTATACAGCTGTTGTTTATATTGATAAGAAAAAAAACTTTTTTATGTTATGTGTTTTAGTTAATCTTATATTATTAATTTTATAATTTTTAAAATTGCTCGTTTGCAAATTAATTGTTAGTTTCAATTTTATTAAATAAGGTTGAAATTAACAATCAAAAAATAAAAACATGTTTTTAAATATTATGTAAATAATAATACAAAGAATATTATATTAAACTTATTTAATTTTTAACATTAATGTAATATAATAAGTAATAACAGAAAATAAAATTTTCTTACCATGAAAATTGTGAGAACCTTATAATTCTGATGTATGCAATTTAGTCTTAAAAAAATTTATATTATAATTAATAAATATGTGCTCTAAGCAATCAATTAAACAAATTTATATTATAAATAATAAATAATGTGCGCTCTCAGGAATCAATTAAACAAATTTGATATTTTGACTTATTAATTTAACAAATTTTATTTAATTTTAAAAATTCAAAAGATTATAACAAATTTTGTTAAATTCTCTAAAAAAGGTAGAATGAACGCTATTATTCTAATATAGCACATCTAGTAAAATATACTATGACAACTGTAACTTAGCTAACTGTATTTTTTTTTTCATTCTAATTTTTGTTCATGTTCACTGGTTATCATAGTAATAATCAAGTTAAAAGTTAAAATGCTTTAGATTCTGTCTTCAATCAGTTTGTATTAAACTTAGAAAAAATAATAATTCAGTTATATATGTACACTCCACTGCGTGTTCAAAACAAAAGGAAAAAACAATTATATCAAATAAATTAAAAAATAAAAACAGTGAAGAAATAAAAAAAAATGTTAAAAAATAAAACTCTAGTTTTATTTTTACTATATATATATATATATATATATATATATATATATATATATATATATATATAGACACACACTCACACACATGTGTAATTAGTATATTTTAAATTTTTTGGGTATAAGTTGAACAGTTGGATTGTTATACCTCTTGAGTATTTATTATTATTATTATTTGCCTTGTTTATTTATTTCATAAGTCTTACAGTTTTTGCATTTTTTTTTAAATATTTAAATACGCTGTGAAAATTATTTTTTTGTTTTTGTTATTGATGCAGTATTTTAATCTAGTGTAATATGAGATTATATTAATTTTTTGTTGTGTTAACTTTTAACAATTGATCTTTTTAAAAATTTTATATTTTTAAAGTTGATGTTTTTTTTCAGTTTTGAATGGGTGGAAATAATTGAACCAACTAAACAAGAACACATGTTTGCTAATGTTAAAACAGGCCAGTGTATGTGGGAACCACCAGAAGGTGTAAGCGTGTAAGTATTAGTTGATTCATAAGTCAGTGATCTATAAAAAAGGCAAATCATGTAATTTTTTTTAAATTTGTATTTATAATACTTATAGGTAAATAGTTAAATTTAATTATTGTTATTATTAATCTTATTTTATTTTTGTTTATTTTATATAAATATATATATACATATATATATATATATATATATATATATATATAATATATATATATATATATATATATATATATATATATATATATATATATATATATATATATATATAAAACCCTCGAAATTAGGGTCGGCATTTGGCAATGCCGACCTAAAAGTGCTTGAGGCAGGTAAAAGATTGCCGACCTCATTTCTATGTTTTATGATCAAACCTTTGTATCAAATTATTTTTGCCAACCTGATGCCAACCTCAAAAAGATTGAGGTCGGCAAATTATTGCCAACCTCATTTTTCCTAATTCTGAGGGTTGTATATATATATATATATATATATATATATATATATATATATATATATATATATATATATATATATATATATATATATATACATATATAGAAAATATAAGAAAGGACTTTTATTATGGTAAAAAAAGTCTTTTCTTTTTTTTTCTTTTTTTCAAAAAATAAAGTTTATTTTTTATGAATTAAAGCGCGTAAAGGACAGAAAATTACGTAGAATATAGATATAGAGTTTATACTTAAATAGCAGATATATTTTTAGAAAACCAACCCATGCTAACCAATGGTGGGAGCTTTTTGATGTAGTCACAGAAAGAAATTATTACTATAATGCAACATCTCAGAAAACAGTTTGGCGAAAACCAAAAGATGGCGATATCATACCTTTATCAAATCTTCAAGTAAGACATTATAAAATTGGATACTAGTTATGTAAAATCTAATTCAGTATATACATTAAATATACTCAGAGTACAATTATAACCATTTACATATTTATTATAGTTTACAAATGCAATACAAACGGCTAAAACATATTTCCATAAAAATAGTAGTGGCACAATGAATTACAAATTTTTTATTTTCAAAAAAGGGTTACATATATAACTTTTATTATTTTTTTATTATACATATATTATACAATCAATAAAATAAGTATACAATTGTAAATTTATTCTTGTAATACAAATAATATTTAGAATCATAAATACCAAAATGTTAGTTGAAATAATAAATCAAGTAACTTTAACAGTAATTGACAAAATCTGTAATTGTTTCATTTTTTTAAATATTTTTAATATTTTCTCAAAAATTATCTCCTAGTTTAATTTATTCTGTATACTTTAAAGTTAAACTTAAAATATAAACTTCTTATTTTTTGTTTGAAATTTTTTTAAAATGCAAACAAAGTTAGATATAACTTTGTTTGCATTTTAAATGTTTGCAGGTAATTTTGCATTTTAAATCCAAAATTACCTGCTTTTTTATGTATAATAAAAACATATTTGATTTTTTTAAAAGACTTTTAAAAAAATAGTTCATCTCCTTTTTTAAACAAAACATGTGCATTAAGGACAAAAATTAGGTATGTTTAACTTTTAATTTTGGGTTCAAGACAAGTTGATCTTAATTAAAGTTCTAAATAAAACATGGTTATAAAAATTATTAAATATTTTATTTTAAATAATTTATCTAAAATGCTACAAATCTCCAACAAGATCCAGTAGCCAAACTATGGCACTGCAACTTTAATTCTAAAAAAATATAACCACAAATATACAAAACTTAGCTCCATAATTACAAAAGCTTTTCTCTATTTTATTTATACAGCTATTAACAGGATAATTATAATTATAGACATAACTATAAATACTAAACATAATTATAAGTGTTAAAAATAATTTATAAATTTTAGGCATAATTATAAATATTAAACATAGTTGCAAATGTTAAACATAATTATAAATGTTAAATATAGTTATAATTATTAGGCATAGCAATTTAACTATTAACTCTAAGCTCTAAGTTTATAATTTAATGCTGAGTACTGCATTCACTGGTAATGTTGGCTTCTGTTTTTTAACCACTTTTTTTTTCAAACTTTTTTGACCACTAGCATTCCTAGTCAAAATACATTGGCAGGTGGCTGTTATGTTGTTAAATTTATTTTTTTTAGATGTTAAAGGCTAAAGAAGCTTCTCAAAAGTTGTTGAGCAAATCATCTTCAGCTGGCAATGTAAGTGAGGAACCTGCTTCTAGCTTTTCAAACCAGTATGAAAATTGTGATTTATCAAAATGTAATCAATATGTCGTTCCACAAGTAGATGCATCATCAAACAGTAAACAAGATATAAATCACTATGAAAATGTTGTCCATATTGCGTCTGAAAATCATCAGTCGGGTGAAAATAAGTTAAGTAAAAAACAGTCATCTGATTTAATAATAAATGAACATTCTGAAACTCAAAACATGGAAACTGTCAAGAATGAAAATCTTGATCTTTCCTCAACACAAAAAGTTTCTAATTCATTTCGTTCTAAAGCTCCTCCAAAGCCTCCACGCTGTGATAAGTCACTTTTTAATTCAAATGAAGGTATAATTTCAAACTCATCTGATAGCAATGACAGATGTGTTTCCAACGTTGCTGCTGATTCTAAGGTAAATGTCAAAAAACTAAAAAAAGTTTTGATATAAAAATTAAAATAGAAAACTTTTGTTTGTTTTATTTGTAATATATGTTGAGCCTATGATTTTTTTTAATGTAGCCTATGAAGCGTCAAAATTATTATAAATCAACATCTCTTGTGCCATCTGTTGAATCCTCTGTTGAAATAAACAATGCTAAAGGACGGACTTTTTCAATGTCTGATAAATTTTCTCCCAGGTTATCTCAACATACTGAACAAGAAATACTGTTAAATTTGTCTAGTTCAGATATTAATGATGAAAACTGTTATTCTAATAAGGTCCATACATTTTCAAGTGTTCCAAGTGCACCTCCTCCACCTGATTTAATGAATAGTGCAAAGTATCGCCAAATTTTGCAAAATAACACTTTATCTGTATATGACAATGTATCTTATGATGAGACAGACTTAAACAATGTTTTAAATAGAAAAGATAAGAATTTGTAAGTATTTTGATTTATTTATAAACTAAATGTGCATAGTTTAATAAACTATGTATATTTATAAACTCAAAAGCTTAATAAATTTAATTATGTATATCTAGAAATTCAAAAACTTAAATTTAATTATGTATATCTAAAAACTGCTTCTAGTTGATAATGCTTCTAATTTCCTTTGATTTTTTTTTTTTTTCAATTTTATTATCTTTTTTCAAAAATATATATACTATAATATATATAGTATATATATAGTATATATATATATATATATATATATATATATATATATATATATATATATATATATACTATAGTATATATACTATATAGTATATATATATAGATATATAGTATATATATACTATATAGTATATATATACTATATAGTATATATATATAGATATATAGTATATATATATACTATAGTATATATATATATATATATATATATATATATATATATATACTATAGTATATATACTATAGTATATATATATATATATATATATATATATATATATATATATATATATATATATATATATATATATATATATATATATATATATACTATAGTATATATACTATAGTATATATATATATATATATATATATATATATATATATATATATATATATATACTATAGTATATATACTATAGTATATATATATATATATATATATATATATATATATATATATATATATATATATATACTATAGTATATATACTATAGTATATATATATATATATATATATATATATATATTATATATATATATATATATATATATATATATATATATATATATATATATATATATATATATAATATATATATAATATATATATAATATATATATACAATATATATTTATATATATATATATATATATATATATATAATATATTATATATATATATATATATATATATATATATATATATATATATATATATATATATATATATATAATATGTATATATATTTTATTTTTATATTTATATATATATATATAATATATATATATATATATATTTTATTTTTATATTTATATATATATATATATTATAAAGTCACTTGTAATGAAGTGTGCATTTATAAACTATAGGTTTTCTTTGAAGCATGCCTTATTATTACTGGTAAGTTTGGTTATCAGGCGTAATCATGATGTTTGCACTTAATTATATTAAAATATTTGAAGACGATATTTATATAACAATTAATATTAGAAGACAATATTTATATAACAATCAATATTCAAAGACAATATTTATATAACAAACAATCAACTGATTATTCCAAATGTTTTTAAAATTTATTTTCTATGAATTTTTTTCTTTTACATAATTTTTCTACTGTTGAATATTTATTTTAAAGTTATAAAATAAAAAGAATAAAAATAATAGTAATAATATTATAATAATTAAAATGAAAAATAAAGAATTTTCAAAATTTATATAATAAATGAACAAAATACTCAAAGTAATACTGTTGGTAGTGAAAATCAGAAAGATGTTTTTGTTTTTGGTTGGTAATTCCATGAGGTAAGATTACTCAATGTAAATCAAAGTTAGTTGAAAATTTTATTAAAAAAAACAACAAAAAAAATCTAGTTCTTTATTTTGTTGTGTATAGCCAAATCTGAAGTATTACATTATGGATTTATTTTTACACTTGCTTTAAAAGTATTGATTATTTGACAGGTCCTGTTATTAGTAAATATCTAAATTTACCTAAAGTTAGGACATCCTGGAATTCAAAAGAAAGAAATTCAAAGTTAAAAAGTTTTTTTTTTTTTTAAATCTATGGTTAAACTTTTTAAAATAAAAAAAAAAAATTCTTCAAGTTTATATAACTGATTTTTCTTAATTTGAATAAAATGGAAGTAGACAACCATTTTTTCTTTTTATTGGATTTAGATCTTACATGAAAAACCTTTCCAATTAATTATTTTATTTAAAAAACTTTGTCTCTTATTTGTCTGCTGAAACTTTCATAAAAAAATTAACCAAGTCATTTGACAGTAGCATTTCAAAGATGTAAAATTTTGTTGTTGACAAAACTAAAAGTAGTGCATAAAATATTTACTTTTAAATTTGGTAAAGATTTGGTCAGATCATAAACATATTTTAAAAAATTTTTAATTCTATAATAAATAATCAGATCAACTTTTTGTAAAAGTTTCTTGAAAACACTTTTTTTAAGTGATTCTTTATAGCGCTTTTTTTATAACACTGAAAAAAAAAATTTTTTATAGCGCTTTTTTTATAACACTGAAAAAAAATTGAAAATATCTGTTTGAAAATATTTTGGAATTCCAAAAAAGTTGTTTTTTTTGGCTGTAAAACATTTTACTATAATAAAGAATATATAATACTAAATTTATATAGTTACAAAAATACATGATATAAAATGTTTTTAATAGTAGCAGTTTTTGTTTAAAGTTTTTTTGTTTTATGGCAACAATGACAGCATGATGACAACCAAACCTAAAATGATCAACAGAATGTTTATGATTTTGAAATGATTCAAGTGAATAATAAGCAAGCTAAATGAATTTTATTAATAATTCAT